GCAGTGGTGTTTGGTGAAGGTGGTCGAGATGGGGCCCTGTGGGAAGCGAGCGGTGACGGGACTTGCTGAGGGAAGGCCTTTGCGCAGGCCCAAACACGAGGGAGGCTGGGGGTGCAGAGGCTCGTTTGCTGGGGCTACTAGGCATAACCCCCCGCTGCTTTTTGCTAGCAGTGTGCATGAATGTGTTGTGTGCGCTGCACGGGACTGTGCCTCCTGCTGCCTTACACAGAGATGGCAGTTCTAAAGCCCACCACACTTGGGTGTGCTGTGGAGGGCTCAGCTGTACCGAGGAGCCACTTGGGAGCCTCTCCGGGGGATTTGCCTGCCTCACTGAAGTGGCGACTGGGCAGGTATGTTTCTTTTCCTGTAGCACCAGTGCAGGCAGTAAGGAGGGGCGCTGGGGGCTGTGAAATGAATCACCGCTTTTTTGTGCTGCTTGCATAGGTGGGTTCTGGGCCTTCAAGTCCTACTGTAGTGCAGGCAAAGAGGCATGGCGAGGGTAAGCGAGCCCTCCGCTCAAAACCCTGTGTGCATGTGTCTGTGCTGTGTCCCTGGGCTGGGATATTCAGTGCAGATATGGCCCTGCCTTACTGCAAAGCTGCGCAGGAGTTAACATGGCTGTGTCCTGGCCTAGCGGGGTCCCAGGAGATTGCTATGGAGAGCTGCCGAAAGCTGTCCCAACTCCAGACTGAAATTTACAGTGCCTGGGTGCGCTGGGCCAGCGTATCCCTTTCCTGCAGGCGGAGAGCCTTTCCAGCAGATGAAGATCAATGGTGGCTGGAGCAGTAACAGCCAGAGGCTCTGGGGAGGGGTGAGGTAAGTGCGGAGACTCAACCCTGATGTGGCTTGGCCGATGAGCAATACAAAAAAATCCCCACAGGCCTGACGTCAGCCCTGTCTTGCAAGTGCCTCTCAGGGCATGTGTACAGCTGAGTAGGAGAGATCAGCATCTTGTGTTTCTGCTGTTTTTTTTTTTTAGAGTTCCTCTTCTCCTCCAGACCTGCACCAGCAACACCACCCTGCGCTGTAGTAACTCGCACTTTACAGCTGCTGCAGCAGTGCTCCACAATCCAAAGCCAAACAGTGAGTCCGTCCGCGTTAGCTCTGTACAGGCCCTGGCAATCCCGCATCTATCCGGCGGGAGTCAGCATCAGAGAGCTGTTCCCTACGTGGGACCAAGCTCTGCTGGCCTGGGTGGCTTGGCAGAGTGGGAGAGGGAAGGGTTAGCGCTGGACACTGGCACACTGCTGTCTCTGCTACTGCAGGGTAGAGCAGAGCAGCAACCATTGCAGGCTGTGAGCTGCTGTGGCGATTCAGTTGTAGCCACTGCCTCCGGCTCACAGGGGCTATCTTTCTGTTTCATAGGTGCTCTGAGAGAGAGAACATTTACTGGAGAGCATGTGCTCCCCTCCCCAGCTGCTAAGGACAGAGAGAGACCGCAGGTGAGACCCCATCACTCACAGGGATTTAATCTGTTCCTGGGAATCTAAGCCGCTATCCTTTGCTTACCTGGGGGCATAGTTCTGTCCCCAAGTCACACACAGAGACTTCTAGCACAGAGCTTCTTGTGCCCAGGCACCGAGAGGCGTGAGAATGCCTGATGAGAACGAGATGGTGGGTTTTCATTAATCTTTGATCAGGACTGGCAGGAGCCAGCACAAGTTAGCCAGGCGTGGGAAGACCAGCTGTGACTTGGCTTTATTCTCACAGGGCTCAGGATCCAAAATCTGCTGCTCTCAGGCCCACTTTCTAGCGAAGTCTAATGGCCTGCTCATGCCTGCTGCGTTGGAATGAGCTAGTGCTGCTGCCCGCTGCTTTGTGAATATCTTCACTAAGGGTTGATGCCAGGGCTTTGCACAGCACTCGCTGCCCTTTTCCTCTGGTAGCTGCCGCCAGGGAAACAAGACACAGCTTTCGGGCCAGGCGCCGAGAAGGCACCGAGACAGGGCAGAGCCAGAGCCCCCAGGCAGGGCCTGAAAGGAAGGGCTCGGCCACGTTCCTAGAGCAGGGCTCAAGATGACTGAGAAAAGCCAGCCTTTTCTCGGCCACTGCAGGGCTGCTTGTCTGCCCTGTCGTCCTGGTAACTTCTGGGCTTGGGCCGTTGCTCTGGGCAGGGAATGCTCAGGGCTTTGTGTCTCCCTCCACAGCCACGCAGTCAGATAGATGCTGTGCATTTAAGGCAGGCAGAGCTGGGGATAGTGGCTGCCTAAGAGACCCATGTGCTCTTAATATAAAGGGATGTGTAGGTGGATGCATACACCCTTTTCTTAACACTTACACATGGTGGTGTCTGCCACAAGAGACTACCACCCACCCCCAACCCCATCCCAAAGGGCCAGCATTAGCTCTGCTGTCAGCAAAGCAGGCAGGCTGGCCAAGAAATAATGGAAATGAATTTTTGTCACTGAAGCTTAGACACAAATATTTATTAAGCACAACCCCCATTCCCCTTGAGCTGTATTCATTTCTAATATATTAATTCATTTGGCAGATTATTTTTTAGAAAAAAAAAGTACCTGTGCGTTGGAAATTCCCCATTAAAATGACATTAGCAAATGCACATGTAAAAAATAAATAAGCTCATACATTCAAGTATATGGCAAATAATTAACACCTCTGAAAGCTTAATGGTCAGATTCCAGTTCACCACCTGGCTGAGAGCTGCACAGGCCCGAGCCTGCAGCTGGTCAAGTCATCTCCATCTTCAATGTTTTCCTCCTCTTTCCAAATGCAAGCTGGGTCAGTATGTAGGTGGCTGGGCAGGTCCTCCTATCCCTTCTCCAGAGCTCTGTCCAGCCCCAGGAAGGAGGCCAAGCCTCGGCCAAGCAGTCCGTGTAGCAGGTGAGCGCTCCCTGGTAGCAGGTAAAATGCAGCTACCCCTCCACATGGTCAGTGCAGGCAGGCTAAATGCCTGATGAGCAGCATCACTGGTCTAAAAATCTTACTGCTGGTTGGAAATGTTTCCATCAAATGCATTTCAAATAGAAAGTGCTGATTTGTTCTCTTTAGGAACATATCTGCTTTGGCAGAACTCATTACTGGAGTTTCTGAAGTCCAAGATAGCCTATCTGGTCAAGCAAAGAAAAAATACTCTACCTCTTGAAGTTAGATCCCTGTTCCCCTCCTCCCTGGGCTTGCTTTTCCAGCTGTTCCAAAAGGGTAAGGAATGAAAGTAAATGTAGACCCTTGTGCTTGTGTGTGGGGTGGAACTGACTTCCCAGCTAACACCCCAGTCTGGAGCTATCGCGAGGCTCCATTTATTGGAGACAGATTGGGCAAAACGGGAGTGCTTCGCCGAGAGCGGCTCTGACGGGGCCTGCAGGGCCAGGGAGAAGCTCAGCACTGGTCTTGGGAGAAACAAGGGGAAGGAAGGGCTATTATCCATGACTGCTGTTGCACACAGAAGGGAGGAGGGGATGGGTCTGCTTTGGCCAGAAAACTTTGCTGGCTGTCGAAGCAGGTCATTGCTGAATGCAGGCTTCTGCCTCGGGTACACTCACCTGCACACAGGACAATCCCGCACGAGACTTCTGGCTCAGCAGCACCAGAAGCGATGAGTTGCCCAAGTTTGCCTTGTGCTGAACAGATGGGCAGAGGGACTTCCTTCCTCCCTTCCCAGGCGTAGGCCCCTGTCTCGGGCCTGCAGTTCGGGCTGCACAGCTGGCAGTTGCCTTTCAGGCTTTGTCCCAGGCTGAAGCTGGGCTTGGCTGCACAGCTCTTCTCTAGAGGTAACCAAATCCCACTAAAGCTCAGCGCAGGCAAGGCTTTGCTCCTGCTCAGGAGGTCCCGGTACAGCTCTGCAGAGGACTGTGGCAGGGGAAGCAGAGGGGGTGGCACAGGGCTCACTGCAGAGTCCTCAGCAAACCTAAAATAAACTTTTAAGGTGTGGGGGACCATGACTGCAACTGGGGCAGGGGTGAGGTTTAAAAGGACTGGTGTAGCCTCTGACTTGGGCTCATTTCCTCCTGTAGAAAGAACAAAGCTGAGCTGGACATTCCAGGGAAGGATCCAGAGCAATTTGTGTCGCCTCGTGATGCAGGCAAGACAGGAGGACTTCAAAATGGAAAAGGTGCTCTTCCCTTCCCCCATTAAATTAAAAGTGTTGTGGAAATAAAAGACATCAAGACTGGAGTTAACTATCCTTTCTGGGCTCCTCCTTTGGCTGACAGCACAAGTTCCTGGATTTTTAGGTGATAAGCAAAGGGGCTGCCAAAGTCTTCTTCCCTCGTGCTGTGCCCAGTGTTACAGTGGCCGTGTGTCCTAAAAAACCCCTTGTTTAAAAACAGTTCCCCGTCTGTGGGCCTTCCTGTAACACTGCAACGCGACGGAGGTGCGGCTCCCCGCATCCCTGGGGCGGCTCCTGGGAGAAGTCTGTGGTAGCGCAGGAGCGATCGGGTTTGAAACCACCTACGCTTTTTTTCTTTTTAAAAAACAAAATGAAACCAAGACAACCCCCCCAAACCAAACCCCAGTTCTTAGCTGGAACCAGGCCTCTGCTGCTCCTCTCCTGCCTCCTCCTGGGCTGAGGCCAAATCTACCCGCTGCTCATCCATGCGTTTGGCCTGGACGCGCTGGATGAGGCTGAAGAAGTCTTCGTCCGGCATGGTGGGGCCACGGGGGATGGAGTCTGGTGGTGCACAGCGCTGGTCATCTATCCTGGAGGACTGCATGTGGAGGAGAACAGGTTTTAGGACTGAGTACTGACAAGACAGTCCTGTCATAGAAGTAAAGGGCTGGGGTATCAGTGCCCAAGAGGTGTCCAGAGCACGCGCTCCCCATCCGGGGGCGCAGGGCAGTGGGACCAGCAGTGCTGTACCCCACTGCGGGCTCCAGCATAAGGGAAGAGCAGTGGCCCAGCCCAGGGGCTGTAGGGACTGCGTGGAAGGTGGGTTCTCCAGCCACCCTCTCGCTTGTAGAGCGGTGACAGCCCTCAGTACAGGGTAAAAAGAAGGACCTAGAGGCAAAGCCAAGTATCTGCCTGGGTGCCCAGGGCTGTGGGTGAGCAGCTGCTGGCCACAGCCCCTCCCAGCAGGGCAGGTGGGATCAGGGGATGGTATTTGCCTATGTGGGAGAAGCTAGTGTCCCCCCTCCAGCTTGGCAGCCCACTCAGCCCTGCCGGTACCTGACACTTCATGAGCATGTTGAAGAACTCATCCCCGGGCTCCTGGGCCTCCCCCTCCACACGCAGGTGCCCCAGGTTGTTGTGTGTTATCCGGAGGCCTGGCAGGTTGCCCACGTTGGCGCGCTGGTCATCCAGCCGTCTGCTCTGGGAGCTGGCGATGAGATCGAAGAATTCCTCCGTCTGCGGAGATGCCATTAAGGAGGACTGTGCTGTGAGCGGGGAAGAGGAGCACACACCAGGGTCACAGCTCTGCCTGCTCATGCCTAAGCTTCAGCTCTGCTGTCTGCAGAAAGCCCAAATCCTTCTCATCACCAAACTGCTGTTCAACCAACTGGGCTGCAGCCGAGCCTTACACATTCACCCCAAGGGACAGGGGCTTGGCGTACAGCGTGCCGGCTTCTTGCAACCACTTGCTCTCTTTTCTGAAGGCCGGTGCTATAGCACAGCCCTTGGTACCCACCTCCCAAAAAGGCCTTGGGCTGCATCCCCGCAGTTGCCCTGCATGAAGAGCGCGCAGGACCGGCTGCAAGCAGCCTGCCCGCACACAGCTCCCAGCCCAGCAGCCAATGCCCTCAGCAGGACCCTCTGCCCTGCCTTCCCTCTGGGAAGCAGAAAAGCTCTTGGTACGCAGAG